AAAAAAAAAAAAAAAAAAAAAAACAAAAAGAAACAGTTTATAAACTTAAATAATAAAACTAGGGGGAAAGCTGGGAGTATTGAGTAATATTTACATTAAGTAAAAAAAGTTTTTGGTTTAAAATTATCTCCAAAAGATTGGTAAACTCATAAGTTACCAAGAATCATTTACCAACTGAATTACTAATAACTCAAAGCTTACCAAGTCTTTTCTTCAGGAGCCTATAATATAAAGAGAACTTAATCTTTCAGCTGGCATCTACTTCAAGAAACAATAATTTTCAACTGACTCCAACAAGTAATACATACCCTATTTAGTTACTGAAAATGAAAAGGAAAAATAATTATTTGCAGTTTAAGAAACCTCAAGGACCATCTCCACAATAAAACCTATTCTAATTATCTTTGGTCCCTTTAAAGAATCATTACGCATTTTCTTAAACAGGTTATTTTAGTGTCTACAAGGACCACAGCCACCTTCTGAAGAAACTCCCGCCCCACAGCCCCTGCAAAGAAGCAGGGCTAGGCCAGATCAATTACCATCAGAACAAACACTAGTAAACACCACACCCAAGGGCACACACTCTACAAGGCAACCAGGCTCTATGTTATAACCAACCTGACCTCCTTAGGTGATGAACATTACATTTATCGAAGTGACAAAAAGTATTCACTCAATACTTGACGAGTCAACTGGCACTATGCATGAGTTACGGAAGGCATCTTGTGTGCATTGGCAGTAATGCCTCTCATGCCACCAATTATCAAAGACCAGTGATTTTCAAAATAGCAGAGGTGCCTTAAAGGCCACCTGGTGGTACTAATGGCTGACAGGAGAGTCAGCCCCCTCCAGCACATACTTACATATACTATTTAGTCTTCCCTGTGTACCAGACAAAGGACTCAGAACTCTGCAAACTTTTCAAATTCCCAGTAGTTTGCAGTTTAATTTTTTTTTTTTTTTTGAGTCAGAGTCTACTCTGTCGCCCAGGCTGGAGTACAGTGGCATGATCTCGGTTCACTGTACCCTCCGCCTCCTTGGTTCAAGCGATTCTCCTGTCTCCGTCTCCTGAGTAGCTGGGACTACAGGCATGTGCCACCACGACCAACTAGTTTTTGTATTTTTTAGCAGAGACAGGGTTTCCGCATATTGGACAGTCCGCTCTCAAATTCCTGACCTCGTGATCTGCCCGCCTCGGCCTCCCAAAGTGCTACGATTACAAGTGTGGACCACCGCGCACCCTGCCTACATTTTTTTTAATGAAAAGAAACTTTAAATCCATATGTAGTTAAATCTACATTTTTCACTTTGTAATTTCTCTTCCTGCTCTTACTCTTAGAAAGTCATCTTGGCCAGGCACAGTGGCTCATGCCTGTAATCCCCGCACTTTGAGAGTTTGAGGTGGGAGGATCCCTTGAGTCCAGAAGTTCAAGACCAGCCTGGGTAATATGGTGAAACCCCATATTACAAAATATACACCATGTTGTGTATTTTGTAACATGGGGCACACCATTTTGTAACATGGTGGCACACACCTGTGGTCCCAGCTACTGGGGAGGGTAGGTGGAGGATTGCTTGATCCCAGGAGGTAGAGACTGCAGTGAACCAAGATCACGCCACTGCACTCCAGCCTGAGCGACAGAGTGAGACCCTCTCTCAAAAACAAAACAAAACAAAAAGTCCTTCTTGGCCAGGCACCCTGGCTCACGCCTATAATCCTAGCACTCTGGGAGGCCGAGGTGGGTGATCACTTGGGGCCAGGAGTTGGACTAGCCTGGCCAACATTGTGAAACCATGTCTCTAGTAAAAATACAAAAAACTTAGCCGGGCATGGTGGTGGACGCTTGTAATCCCAGCTACTTGGGAGGCTGGGGCACAAGAATCGCTTGAACCTGGGAGGCGGAGGTTGCAGTGAGCCAAAATTTTGCCACTGCACTCTAGCCCGGGCAACAGAATAAGGTTCTGTCTTAAAAAAAGAAAAAGTCCACTGGTTAAAACAATTCTTTAAGATATCTGAAAAAAAAAAAAAGGAAAAATTAATAGTCCTTCTCTTGCTATTCCAAGATGTCTTAGAAAAAGTCCTTCTCTCATCTTTTAACAGTTAAATCGTTGTTTCCTAAGGCATGGCACACATGCCAGTGGAGCTATTGTATGGTGCACAGCCCTTTTAAAATTTTAATAGTTATATGTACTGTACTTATTTTAATGTGTACTAGAAAAAAAAAGTAACACTCAAAATCAATATAGCATAAATACAAATGCTTAAGATGTAGCTAAGTAAAAAAGGAGGCAGAAGGATGTCCAGAATCCAGTTAAAGAAAAATATTAATCATACAAATATGACAAGAAATGACTGAAACTTGGAAAACAACGAATTAAGTTTTTGCATATTT